TGGTTATGTGTAATGCATTTGCACCGCCCAAGCCAGGGCTGCAAGCCTGTCCCTCCCCCATACAGTTCATTCCACTTCCATTAGTTATGGGTTTACCGCCCCCCCACCTACCCCTGACCGGCACCCAGTGAGTATTACTACCACGTGAATACCTTAGTGTTGGTTAGTTAGTACCAGTTTGATGGCGAGTACATGTGGTGCGTGTTTTTCTCTCTTTGTGATACCTCACTTCAAAAGATGGGCTCAATCTCTATCCAGGATAATATAAGAGGTGCTAGATCACCATTGTTTTCTGTAGTTGAGTGGTATTCCGTGGTATACATATACCACATTTTATTAATCCACTCATGTATTGATGGGCACTTGGGTTGCCTCCACATCCTTGCAATTGTGAATTGTGCTGCTATAAACATTTGAATGCAGATGTTTTTATTGTAGAATGTCTTTTTTTTCCTTTGTTTCTTTAAGTTCATTATTTTGAATTCCTTTTTAGTCATTTCATAAATTTCCTTTTCTGGGAGTCTGTTACTGGAGAGTTATTGTGTCTCTTTGGAGGTGTCATGTTGCCTTGCTTTTCATGTTTCATGTGTTGCTACATTGATACCTACCTGCACATTTGGTGGAACTGTCACCTCTTCCAATTTTATGGAGTGGCTTTCATAGGGAAGGACTCTTTTCTGCAGGTGTGTTCTATAGTGTCAAATGGGTAAGGCACTTTGGCTTTCATTCTGGGTGGGTGCAGTAGTGTAGTCTCCCAGTGATTTTTTGGCTGTAATCATTGTCAGCAGCATCTGACAATGAGTGCCTCAGTGGCCTAGATTGCAGTTGGTAGTGGAGGCAGTGGCACAGCGTTGCTGGGGTAGGGGCTGCCTGGCAGGCTGATTCTCAAGACCTGTGATGGTGCATGCCAGGTGAAGTAGCTCCACTTGGTTCCTGGTGGGCATGCACAGTTTGTGGCAGCTCTGGCAGTTTAGGGGTGATGTAGTTTTCTGATGCAAAAAGTCTCTGGGGGAAATGTGATTCTCTACCATATGGTGCTGTTAAGTTTTTAGTGTACTATACTTTTTTTTTTTAATGTTTGGAGTATTCTGTTTTATTTATCTCATTCTACTGAACTTTAGGCAAGTCAGAAAAGAAACTTTCAAATTAATAGCTCAAAATATTTTTAAACAGAATTCCAGCTGTTAATGTAATAAAAGATAACTTACACAACTATGTAATAGAGTATCATTATAAACATAGATAACACAATGAAGAAATGCTTGTTTTATATTGTTCCAGAACTTCCTTAAAATGAGGAAGATTTCTCTAATAAGTCAGACTCTTCAATTTAGTTTAGAACATGTTCAAGACCCTTTCTGAAAGGGCACTGTGCTCTAGACCTCGCGTGGGGGTATCAGTTTCCCAGGGCTGCTGTAACATGCTACTACAAACTGGATTAATACAGCAGAAATTTATTTTCCCACAGTTCTAGAGGCTAGAAATCTAAATTCAAGGTATTGGCAGGCCATGGAGAGAATGTATTGCACGCCTTTCTCTTAGCCCTTTGTGGTGCTGGCAATCCTTGCCATTCCTTGTCTTGAAAATGCATCACTGTAATCTCTGTATCTGCATCTGTTACACAATATTCTCGCTCCATGCCTGTCTCTTCTCTTCTTATAAGGACATCAGTCATAATGGATTAAAGGTCCCCCCTACTCCAGTACTACTATACTTGCAATGACCCTATTTCCAAATGAGCTCACATTCTGAGGTTTGGAGAAGGACATGGAATTTTGGGGGGGTACCCTATTCAACCCAATACATGGGGCTTCTAAAATGGATAACAAATGGCTTCTGCCTTCAGGAAGATATAGTTGCTGGTACAGTTGGGGAAATAGATAGAGGAAACCAATGCAAGGCAATGTGTTCAAGTGGTAATGGGTACAGAATACTATATACACATGAAGGAGTCAGTGACTGGTTGTGACTACAGGGCAGTCATGAAAGGCTTCAGGGTGTAGGTGCTGACAAGCCTGAAGAATGACTAGTACACAGAAACAGAAATGCTGGGCATTCTTGATTGAGGGACCAGTCCGAGTAGGCACAGTGCTATAATTGTGCACCTACTATGTGGGGTGTGTGAGACATGTAGACTGTATGGCTAGAGGATTGCATGGCCTTTGGGTAGTGATTGCACATGTTGTGGTGGCCACTGGGAAGGGATGGAGAAGGGAGGAGAGATGAAGCGAGAAGGAGATAGGAAAGGTGATGGGATCCCCATTGTTTCTTTCCATGAATGACTGCCGCAGAATGGGATCTTCAGAGGTAGCGTGTAGGAGTGGTCAAGGGGAACAGTCAAGGGTAGGCCGGATGACCATTCTGTAAGGGAGCTCTAATAGATATTGCTAAACTCAGAGGAGTTAGACTAGCTGAATTTTTTTCTCTGTACTTCAGTGGATGCAAAGGACTAGGTGAATGCTATGACAAGGCACTTTTGCCCAAGGCAATAAGTTCTGCTTCAGAGTAGAACGGCTTTGAAAGATGATTTCAGGGACCTCCTTAGGAGGAGGTGGAGAGTAGGTGGCTGTTTACATGATGTGTGATTTCTGAGTCATCAAAAAGGCTCCTTTGCCTCCTAAAATATCTCCTTCATGCAGGCTGTAGGTGCTTTTAATTCCACTATTGGAAGTTGTTTTCCCAAGGTTTTCTCCTCTGCTAGAATGTAAGTGCCCTGTGGAGAGAGGATATCCATTTACTCTCATTAGCTTTTTGTCCCTTAATATGAGGATTTTCTCAGCCCTTTCTGCATAGTAGGTTTTTGGGAAAAGCACAGAGAGGGAAAAGGAGACCCAGGGGAGGAATATTGGATATACCAACAGTAAACTTTGTCAAAGTTAACAGTTTGGATGAGACTGACCCTGGGGGATATAGTCACTTGGTCTAGAAACATCCTTTATTATTCTTGCATCCAGCCATTTGCTTGTACATGTTGGACAAGGAGTGATTATTTATGTTGTAAGTTTTATGGCTATGAAACTGTTGTTTTTTAAAGGGCCATAAATCTCTCATCTCTCCCACTCTCACCTCATCAAAATAATTTGTGTGACAACCTGATTTCTAGTCTGTATTGCCAAGGCTATGCCACGTACAGTTTATGTATTCAGAAGGGCTCTGTGTTTTTCAGGGTAGGCTAATGCTACCTACTGTGATGAATATCCCTCACAGTTTCAGTGGCTTATTTCAGAGGTTTCTTTCTCATTTATGTCACAATACAATTCAAGTTGATCGGGGGTAAGGGGTGTTCCATGGAGTCCTTCAGGGACCCAGGCTCCTTTCATGAGGTAGGTCCACCATCTTCAATACATGGCCTCAAGATCTAACCAGCCTCATCTGAAAGGCATTCCAGGGGAGGAAAAAGCATGTAGAGAAAGGATACTTATTTTTAACTGCATTGGCCTGGAAGTGACACACATTTCACCTCACATTGCACTGGTGAAAACTAGACCCAGGGACCCACCCATATGGAAGGAGATGGGAAAATATAGTTTAGCTGCATATCGAAGAAGAGGAAACAGTCTTGGTGGATCTCTGATATAGGCTTATCAGAAAGCATTTATACATTTTTATTCTGTCTGTGACATAACTTGACCCTTGGGTTGTTGTCATTAAGAGGACAGTGGACAAGAGAGAATAGCAGTGACTTAGAAACTGTCTAGTGTTTAGATAGTGAAAAATCATTCAATCTGCTTGATGAAGGACACATCTTCCTTCCTTGGATTTTTGCTGTATAAGGGAGGACAATGTCTTGATTCAAAGAAATGTCTCTGTTTTGTTTCCTCTTTATTTGCTTTTTAATGGAAGTAGTAAAAATCTAATGGCAATTTCCCTTGCATATAATCTTGCAATCATCTTAGAATAGGAGTTTTTGGGGTTTAAACAGTATGACTTCTCTGATATGTTTTAGTTCTCTTTGCCGATAAGAGCATGTTAGCATGTGGAGAAAATTTAGACGTCTTCAATCCAATTCTCTTGTTTTCTAGAGAAGGGAATCCAGAGGTAACTGAATTATCCAAATTTGCAGCAAGTTAGTGATTAGTATGGGTCTCAGACTGCATTTTCCATATTTCTACTCTGGTGTTCTTTTTACACCATGATGCTATTCCCTACAGAACGACCATTTGGAGAATAGGCCTGGCCAGGCGGGATCAGTGGACACCAGCCAGAAGGGTAGAGCTTTGACCAGATGAAATCAGAAGCTTCTTTTTAGCTCTCAGGTTCCTTGATTGATCGTGCTAAGTATTAATAGATGGTGTCTGATTGTATGATCCCTGGCCTGACAGAAGTGATGTAGCCTTTCAAGAATTTATAACTTTCCTCAGAAAATAGAATCTTATTTCTTTGTTCTTCTCAGCTATTTCTTTAATTCATTTTTAGCTATTTGTTTTTCTATATCTTTTTTAAATTATAAAAGTAACAATCATAATTATAGAAATGAAGTAAATATATAAGTATATAAAAATCCATACAAATATCATAAAAATTTTCCTGTAATTCCATAACTTGATAATGCAGCAATAACCACTATGAATGTTTTGGTGTGTTTCCTAACCATTTTCCAACACATATATATTTGCATACTTATGTACAATATAACTATAATAAAATGTTATGCAATATTATGCAATATGAAATATGCAACTCTTAAAAGTTGTTTTAAAGTATGTTATGATATGGAAAGGTGCTCATATAGTTGTTTACTTATGCAAAATATAATTCTAATTATATTTGTTTTGTTTGCTTGTTTATTCGCTTTTCAATGGAAGTAGGAAAAAGGTAGTAGAAATCTCTATTCCATGTATCTTGGAATAAAATTCTAATTTTATTTTTTTAAGAATTGTATAATATTGCATCTCATAGAAACACACTACGCTTTAAGTAATGGTCCAAGTGGGGAGGAGGGCGGGGAGTAATATCTTTGGTTCTTTTGGTTCTTTGACGCCATGTTCCTCTTCTCATAGGGTATCAGCAGCTTGTTCAGTTCTCTGAAAGTTGTCCGGTTGCTCCGTCTTGGGCGAGTGGCCCGAAAGCTGGACCACTACATTGAATACGGAGCTGCTGTGCTGGTCCTGCTGGTCTGTGTGTTTGGGCTGGCCGCACACTGGATGGCCTGCATCTGGTACAGCATCGGGGACTATGAGATCTTCGACGAGGACACTAAGACGATCCGCAACAACAGCTGGCTCTACCAGCTGGCGATGGACGTTGGCACCCCTTACCAGTTTAATGGGTCTGGCTCAGGGAAGTGGGAAGGTGGTCCCAGCAAGAATTCTGTCTACATCTCCTCGTTGTATTTCACCATGACCAGCCTCACCAGTGTGGGCTTTGGGAATATTGCCCCATCCACAGACATCGAGAAGATCTTTGCGGTGGCCATCATGATGATTGGCTGTAAGTATGACACTGCTGGGACAGGGGTGGTGGGGACATACTGTTTGGTCATCTCTTCTGCTAGCTGGCAATAGGGCAATAGCTACTGTGCCAGCAGGATCAGGAGTATAATAACTTAAAAGAAGGGACAAATTTTTTTTTAAGACTGGGTTTACAGTTATTCTAATAAAGCAGTACATGCTCACTGCAAAAAAATTTAGAAAATATAAAAGAATACAAAGTAGAAAATAAAGACTTCCATAATTCTACATCTCAGAGATAACTGCTATTACTTTTGGTGTCTTCTCTTGCAAGACTATTTCTATGCATATCTGAACACACAGATAAGATTTTTATAAAGTTAAAATGAGATCATGCTACACATACAATTTGGTAAACTGTTCATAGAACAGTGAATTGTGGAAGTCTTTCCATGTCTGGGTTTTTTTTTTGCCTTTTGATAAAAGTTATATATTTTTAAGGTATATAATGTGACATTTTGATATACTGTACATATACATAGTGAGATGATTACAGTGAAACAAATTAACATATCCATCTCTTCATATAGTTACCTTTTTTTTGGTGAGAGCACTTGAAATCTACTCTTTTAGCCAATTTCCTGTATACATTAGACTATTCTTAACTATAGCCATCATGCTAAAATAGGTTGATTTAAACATAGCTCTAGATCTGCACAGCCCAATATTGTATAGGAACAAGAATATATGAAAAATGAATGTAAAACATCTCATTAATTATCTTTTATATTGGTTATATGTCAAAATAACAATATTTTAGATATATTGGGTTAAATAAAACCTTATAATTGTTATTTTCTTTTAAATGTGGCTCCTAGGAAAATTTTAAATCTTATTTCTATTGGATAGTGCTGGTCTAGGTCAACATTTCTGATGTCTGCTTGATAGTTGAGAAATTTTCCAACTCAAAAAGACAGACAAACCACATACAGGGAAAAAAAGGCTCTTACTGGGTTGAGAAATAATAGGTTATTGGAATAATTCGACTACATTGAAAAACAACCCTAGTTCTTGAGGAAGATACCTAAATCTGAATCATTTACCCATTAACCATTGTGTAGCTGTTCCATTGCTGAGTCTAGAAACAACTTTTGGCTGCAAACAAGAATGAACTCCCTTCATTCAAGGGAGTCTTAGGTAGGAGTGAACCTAACTGGGGGGAGGGGAGGGAGGAAAGTAAACGCGCTTATGTGGATTCGATTCATTGTGAAACTGCCAAGTGCACCCTGTTGGCACTTCAGTGACAAATTGATGTGGGAGAGAACAGTCCCCTGGTGAAGTACCCATTTGGACAGTGGTCTGGTTACTCTGGAGGACTCTTGGGCTCTGGTTCCACAGGCAGAAACCTTTTTGCTTGATGTGCTCCTTCAGGGTGCAGTTGATGAATTAATTAACCATTATACCAACCAGGGGCACCTGAGGTTTCAGTGTGCCCTGCTTTGTCTAACCGACCAGAGATCCAGCATCCCACTTTGTGAGTGGCCTTTGTTACCCCGAATGGTCACATTTGCTGCTTCCTACCTCCTTTTCCACAGCTATCTCATCACGTCTGATGCAGCCCTTTCCTAAAAGCCCTCTCTGCAGGCAGAGCTTGCCTGAGAGTATTTACAGAATGTGTCCAAGGGGGTAATTGATTTGTGAGAAGCATGTGCCAATGGAGCTTTTGGGTTTGCTCCTTATTTTAAACGGGGTTTTAATAGAGATGATTGCCTGGCCCTGGGAAGCAGCCTTAGGATCTGTGGGTGGCTAATTGCTTCAGCTTAATTAGAACTTGAGGTGCTTTCTGATGGCACAGAAATGGATTTAAGACCTTTGCTCTTCTAAAACTGTTTTAGCTGTAACTGAACCTATTTCTTAGGCTGTGCTTGCAGCATTTTTGTGAGCCTTGGGGCACCCGGTAAACAACCAGATGCACTGTGCTCGGGACACGATGTGATTTCCTTCTCCTACAGGGGGAGATGAGACACTTTGTCAATCTAAAGACCTCATTATATCCATTACAGAGAATTTGCTAAGAGTGGTCAGTTAGAAAATGAGCTCCATTTCATGGGCTCCCCAAAGGCTCTCAAATATGAGCAGATTTCCCTGCAACTTCTTCCCTGGAAGAAAAGAAAACAGTTCTGGCGGCATATAATAAGGACAAGCAATTTGTTTTTTTCCAAAACCATTCTTCTATGGAAAACATAATTTCTTGGGTATAGTCTCCAGGGAAAACCTCAATTATTACCACCTCTTTTCTCTCCCCACCTTCTCAGAGTCAGAGGTTTCTATTTCTTTTTTAAAAAAAGTGTAATACATGGGTAGTCACCTCTGCATTATGCAGCCAAGTATGATGTTTAGTCAAGCACATCTATTTAACACCATTTCATGAACACTTGTTATTTTCTAGGCACTGTGCTAAGTATGCTACACACGATTTCTGCTGCTCATGACAACTGTATACTTTAGAGATTATTATCTCTATTTTGTAAAGAAATGGAGGCTCAGAGAAGTTAACTCACTTTCCCAAGAACGTGGGGCTAGTGGGCAGGAGAGACAGGATTCAGATCCAGGCCTCTGTCCTGTGGTGTGTGGTCTAACAACACAGACTTCCACAGTCTCTTCACATTTACACACTGACACATTGAAAATTCTCTCCATAAACTTTCACAAGCCAGCAGTTTCTGCCTTGGAAACTTTTTCTGCTTGTTTGTTGTTGTCATATTAATTTAAAAACAAGATTATGGTACAGACTCAGGGGACCAGGTGCTTAGGAAATGAGCTATTTTTCAGCAACCTGTCGCTTACCGTTACAGCTGTTCCAGTCTCCGTGTGACACGCGTCTGACAAATTCTGTACTAACAGGAAAGTTATTGCACTCCGTGTAATGCGTTAGTAATTACCCTTGTAAACTCACATTCCAAACAACCTTTGTTCAGGACAACTGCTGATGTCTTATTAGATTTATGGGGTTCTTGTTTATCTTGCTTTGCCTGTGTGTACACATGTGCACACTTACCTCCTTCCTGTACAGCTCACAGGATTGGACGGGCACCAGAACTGAGATCTCTGGTGCTGGGAAGCATTGATCGCAGCCTGTATTTATGCCGAGGGCTTGATGCTGCCTTCCTCCCAGGTTACCCTGCAGTCAGGCCTAGCATTCCTTAAGGGGTAAAAAGAGACATAAAGCCAGTTGGCTTTTGAATTACTGGGTACACTATGATTTTTTCCTCTTTGCATTGAATTTTACGTGCCTTAGTAATATTTCTTGGCTATTCTGTTGCAGTATATTAACCATAATATAGATTATCCAAGCTTTCTGTTGCCTCTCCTCCCTGATCTATGCTCTGAACATCTCCTTATAACTTAGCTAATTCCCCAGAGGATGCCAGGAAGCAGGAAAACTAAATATTTTCAAGCTAGCCCACCTTTCTCAGTTCTGATTTGAAAAAAAATTTGCATTAGCAAAGGCAAAAACTGTTGGCTAATATGAGGCTTTGTGATTAGCTCTGGGTTTCAGGAATCTATGGTGTCTCCAACTGCCTGGTTTTATGTCCAGCTTCCATTCTGGGGTCTTGGCCTGGACCAGGGACACAGCAGCCCCTGCCCTTGTCCCAGTCTCCCTGCCCTCCTTGTGTGGGTCCGGCATAGTCTCCAGCAAGGACTAACGTGAGGTGTGGTAAATAGACTCACTTTTTTGCACACATCTCTCCTATGTGTTGGTGATGCTGAAAGAAGCACAGGCCACACCAGCTCTCTCTGTGACATCTGGGAGAGGATCCCCCCCATTCAAGAGACACATACTGCCTTCCCCGACAGGTACCAGGCTAGGTGCTAAGGATTCAGAGACTACCGCCATAGCTGGTGGTCTCAAGGAGCCGACAGTCTGGTGGTGGTGGAGGCGGGTGGGAAGGACAGAGATAGGCCCTATCAGCCCACCAGACAGTGACAAAGGCCTAGAGATGGAGTCTTCACCGTGGCTAAGCCTTGCCCTGGCCTCCCCGGGATCCCTCAAAAGAGGAAACATTGTCACGGGAGGAGTCCCTTTATCTGGGAGGTCTCGGTTTCAGGTTAGGGACACGACCCTGTCTGAGGGAGCTCTCCAGGGAGAATTCGATGCTGAAGAGACAGTTCCCATTTTCTAAATATGGGCTTTGCACTTTTCTGATTCTTTCCTCATAATGTCATTGCTGTCATCCTGTCATTATAAGTGAGCCGCATCCACTTCCTTTCTCTCTGATAATGGCAGGGGGTCTAGACGTCGTATCCTCCAGACACTCTTCACCCCCAAGCCTCACATTTGGTCTCCTACCTCAACACTGCACAACACCTATCTTTGAATTCATTCCTTTCTTCCCAGTCGTCCTCCACCTCAGCTTTGTAAAACGCTAGCTAAATGTCAGTGCTAAAGGGACTCTCGTGAGCATCTGTTTGGTCCAGAAGAACCTCTCCTTCTAGTTCTTCTTCTGGGCCAGACACCATCCTGATCAATGCTCCAGGCAACCTCCCCCAGGCCTGGGTGTTGCCAGACAGCAACTGGGCCTACCCCTAGTGGGGAAGGGACACTAGGTGCTGCACCCCTGGACACTTGACCCTGCTACCTAACCCACTGGTAGCCAGGCAGTATGCTTTGTGGCCTCACTTCAGTTTGGATTGTCTCTTGCCTTCAAGCAGGGGTTTTTCCCTGCCTCCTTCATGACCTTATTTAAAGATTTATTATTTCTTTCCATTTCACTTTTGCCAAATATCCATTTTTGCATTCTATATCAATATACTGGTTTTTCTAGAACGATGTGGGTTACAACTCCCAGGAGGTCATAATGATACTTTTAAGAGACTTCAAACACATGGGGGACTGTTAATAAATATTTATTGACTTGTTGAATCTGAACAGTTGAGAAAGCCTGAAGTTTTGGAAGGAGTCTTCAGTGCTATTGGCAAAGCTTCTTTTTTTTTATAGCATATGGATTCTCCTGCCGGACGAAGACCCAAAGTAATAGT